AGAATATAAATTATCGATGGCCAAAGAACCAGAAAGATTCAATGATATCAACTCTTATAATAATAATATAAAAATAATCAAAAACAGGATTTCAAAAAAATACTGTATATTAAGAAAATCTCTCCCTAATAATGTGATTGTTGACTTTTTCATATAAATGTAAAAGCATCATATAATGAACATTAATTAAATTAACTATTAAAAAAATAATAAACTTTATTATTGTTAAAGACTAAGGTCAAACAATAATCATCGATATTAAAAAAAAAAAAAAAAAAAAAAAAAAAACAGGACATTCAAGAAGAATGATAAAAATGAAAATCAAAGAAAGATAATTCAAAAACAAAGATGTTGAACACTGTAAAAAATGTGGCTATTACAGTAACCCCAAAAACAAGTTCGATTATCGTAAAGGGATAATTGTATTATTACAAATTGACTATATTAAATGAATAAATATGATAAATAATAGTACTTTAAACTAAGGTATGAAACCTAGTATATTGCGATTGTCACTACTATTACCTATATATGATAATTAATACTCTAACATAAAGATTGAGTTATAACGTCTTATCGGTTATAAAGCCTTTTAATCTACTAATTCCATATATAAAATGAAGCTAACGTCTTTCAGAATAGAAATTAGTATAAAAGGACTCAATTTTCAATACATTAAATTCATTATATTATATTCCAATTTCCATATAAATAAATAAATAATTATTATTTCCTTTATAACAATTAATAAATTTCTATATTTATTATCAGTGTTTTCATACATTACATTATCTTCTAAGATAATTATTTATATATAAATTAGGTTTTCATAACTTGGTTTAAAGTACTATTATTTGTCCTATTTCTTTATTTATCTTCGGCCATCTTTTATTTTAACTTAATAAATAAATTAAAAAATGAACATATAAATCGATTGATTTCTTCTGGATTTTCAATTTCATTAAATGTGGCCCAACTTTCTCAATATGCTAAAGTATATAGCAGCCAATTTTATAGTCAAAATGAAGTTTGCTACAGATTATTTGGTATATTTGATTTTGTTGAAATTTCAAATAAAAAAGATGATGTTATTTGCAATTGGAATAATAAAATTGAATTTGTATAACTTAAATAATCATAATATCATTAATAATATCAATTGGTAATAATCAAATAATAATAATAATAATAATAATAATAATAATAATAATAATAATAATAATAATAATAATAATAATAATAATAATAAATTATGTGAAATAATAAACAAAAAAAAAAATAAAATAAAAAAAATAAAAAAAAAATAATGAAAAATTAGACTATTCCCAATTTAAATATACAGTGAAGTTTAAAATTAAAAACAATAACAAAAATAGTTACTTTTTTATTAAAAATTTTATAATTTCCAAAGATATCAAAAAAAAAAAATAAAAAAATACTAAATATATAATAGTAATAGGTGTAGATAATTTTTTCAAATAATAAAAAAAAACCACCAAAAAAAGAAAATTAAATTAAATCTCTTCAAACCATAATTATATTTTGGTGGGAGTGGGTGTCATTTTTTTAATAATCATTTCTTTGTTTTTAAGGATATAATTTTCACTATATTTATATAAAAATAAAAGTGAAAAATATATAAATTTAGAAAGAAAACTGTTTATATAATTACTTTATTCATTCGATCATTCTATTTTATTTTTTGTTATAATACAATTATTCCCATTACGTTTTCAAAAAATATAATTTTTTTTTTAATAACCTCAATTGGATGTGTTCGAATCATGTTTTATTAATTATTTAAATTTAAATTTTTTTCTGTGACCACATTAATTCGTGGTTAGACCAAGACTTGAACCAAGGCCATGGAGGCTGTGTTATTCAGTGCGAAACCACTACGAGTTTTTTTTAAAAATTAAAAAAAAATTATAAATTCAGTTGTGTTATCACAAAAAATATAAAATGCAAGGGTAGGAAAGTCTGGTTAAATCCGTGTGACTTAAGATCTCATCCATTCGGTTCGCGAGTTCGAATCTCGCCTCTTGCAATGTTTAAATCTATATTGTCATAGTCACGGGTTCGACACCCGAAAATTTAGAAAGCCAAAAATTGTTAAAAAAAAAAAAAAAAAAAAAAAAAAAAAAACTCTTTTTTTTCATTCAGAGAAAAACATGGTCTTGGTCATACCACGAAGTAACGTCCGGGGGGCTTAGCGTAGTGGTTCCACGCTGAATCACAAGCCTCCGTGGCCAAGACCTTGGGATCGAGTCTTGGTCATACCACGAAGTAACGTGGTCAAAATTAAACCCTCATTATTGGAGGCTATACGTAGTGGTTCTGCGCTGAATCACACAGTCTCCGTGGCCTTGGTTCGAACCTTAGGTCATACCACGAAGTAACGTGGTCATAAATAACACACCTCATAATCAACCGGAAAAAAAAGCTCGACTTCCAAAAAAACAACAACAAAAAAACATGGTGATTAGAAATTCTAATCCCAATAATATTAAAAAAAAAAAAAAAAAAAAAAAAAAAAAACGAAGTAACGTGGTCATAATTAAACCCTCATTATTGGGGGCTATACGTAGTGATTCTGCGATGAATCAAACAGTCTCCGTGGCATTGGTTCGAGCCTTAGGTCATAAATAACACACCTCATAATCAACCGGAAAAAAAGTTCGACTTCCATTAAAAAAAAAAAAAAAAAAAAAAAACTAAAGTTAAGAATCCAACTGATAGATACATAGATATAATAGTTTAGGTAGTGTTACTCGAATCTCTATTGAATGCGTACAGGACTATCAATTTAAACTTTTGAAAGATCTTACCCATGTTAAAATTCAAAATCAATAAGGATAACTAAGCCTTCACTCCATCGTACTTTGAGTCTTTACTGTCACAATATAGCATAATCCGTAAGAAAAAAGTTCTTAAAATCTTAATGAAGATTTAAATTTCCAAAACAAATAATATAACAATCATCGTTTCAAAAAAAAAAAAAAAAAAAAATTTTAATTTCAAATTTCTTATAAAATCAAACAAAAACACCAATTATATAATTAAAACAAATATCTTATCCACCCACCTTTACAAACTATATCGTTCAATTGTAGCATAAATTTAAAGAAAAAATTATTTTGTTTGTGTTTAATATTTAAAAAACTTTACAAATTACATAAACAACACATTTTTTCTAATTTATATACATCATCCAAAACAACTATAAATAATTCATTCTTTCAAATTCATTTACACTATTTTTTTTTTTTTTTACCAAAGAATTTTCAAAAAAAATTTCTTTACTAAAAAAAAAAAAATAAATAAAAAAAATATCTTGACAGTTGTTATTTTTTACCTATTTTTTCAAAATTTTAAGCAGGTGATTTTTTTTTTTTTTTTTTTTTATATAAATACCATTCAAAATTCATTTTTATAAAAATTAAAAAAAAAATAATGAAAATCAAAACTCTTTTAACTTTATTATTATTATTAATAACATATAGTTCAGCAAAATATCTTTACTCTGTTTCAACACCAGAATATAAATATGGTAAATTGGTCACGATAATTGATTTATCCAATGGTAAAACAATTTCAAATGTGTTTATTGGTTTAAAATATCAAATTGTTGATATATTATCAATTGATGAAGCCAGCAACACTGTAAATATATTTCAAACACAAACATAGTTTTTGATAAAGAAATTATTATTCTTTTTTTTTTTAGAGGTTTTGTACTAATTAATTTTTAATTTTAAGTTACTTTTATTTTGTAGTTATATACTTGCCAATTATTTAGTATCAGTTGATATTAGTTCTTCAAATTTTACTATTTTGAGTGTAGTTCCAAATGGTTATAGTTATAGTTATGAATTTCAAAGTTTTGCATGGATTGAACAACAAAAAATTGCTTTTATACCAGTATTAGTTGGTGAATTTAGTCTTAAAACACCAATTAGTTCTATGCAAATTAATTTTGATTCAAAGAGTGTTAGTGTAACAAATTATTCTTTAGAGGGCGCTTCCAATATGATATTACCTTTGCAATGGTTCGATTCATTAAATGAAAAAGTATATCTTTCCTATTCAACCTATGATAGCAATAGTGGTCTATTCGGCACAAATATGTTTTCATACAACTTTTCAAATTTAATAGGATCAGCACAAACTTTCCAAAATATTGAAAATGTTACAAGTGTTACACTAATATTTACAGATTCTAAAAGTAATGTTTATTTAATTAAACAAGATACTATTTATAATGGCTTTGTTGATATTTGTAAATTGGATCTACTTTCAAAAACATGCCCTACATTTTATACTCATGAAATTGGCAGTTATTCTCAGTATCAATTCAATCCATTTATTGTTAGCCAAGATGGTTCAACTCTACTAATTATATCAAAAGATCAAAGTGGTTCGTCTTTTAGTGATAGCAGTAGTTCGAGTGGGTCATACGACCTTACATTTTTTAAAATAAATTCAAACTTTCAAAAATCTACTTTGAAAATTGAAGATTATTGGCCAAATGATCAATTCTTTTCAAATTCTTTTATATTTTAAAATAATAAATAAATTTTTTTAATTTAAACGATTAAAAATTGATTTATCACATTGAAAATATCTTTCAAAATAGAAAGTAGTATAAAAGGACTCAATTTTCAATTCATAAAATTCAATATTTTATATTCCAATTTCAATTCAAACCAATAAATACATAAATCATTATTAAAATCATAAAAATTAATAGATTTCTATATTTTTTATTATAATAGTTTTTTTCATATATTGCATTATCTTTTGAAATAATTATTTATTAAATTATTTATCCAGGTTTTCATTCCTCTGTAATTTAAATAGGATAAATAATAATAATTTAAATTTACTATTATTTTTCCTATTTCTTTAATTGATAATATAATCAAAATCTGTAAAAACACTATATTCCAAAATTGTTGAGAATTCTAAATTTAGTTGTAATATCATAAAAAATATAAAATGCAAGGGTAGGAAAGTCTGGTTAAATCCGTGTGACTTAAGATCTCATCCATTCGGTTCGCGAGTTCGAATCTCGCCTCTTGCAATGTTTATATCTATAGAGCCATGGTCACGGGTTCGACACCCGACAATCAATACGAAAAACCATGCCAAATGTGTAATACTAACATGTCTATTGATCCATACGGTCACCTATTCTTTAGCTGCACAAAAACAAAAAACTTCATAAATATTAACAAACTAAAAAATTTTTATATTACTTCACATGGTGTTATAAAGCCATTAATTATGACTTAAACAGATTCATTTCTCATGGATACAACCATGTTATATAAAAAAAAAAAAAAAAAAAAAAAAAATAAACAGATCATATGCATACAATAATGTAATAGCATTAATCATGCATCACATATGGATATGGATTTGTAATCAATTGTACGGTAACAAAGAGCTACAAGATACCAATCTGGATTTTGAAATGCTAACAAACAAATGGCACCAACTAGCTTCTATGGAATACATCAAATTATTAAAAGAATATAAATTATCGATGGCCAAAGAACCAGAAAGATTCAATGATATCAACTCTTATAATAATAATATAAAAATAATCAAAAACAGGATTTCAAAGAAATACTGTATATTAAGAAAATCTCTCCCTAATAATGTGATTGTTGACTTTTTCATATAAATGTAAAAGCATCATATAATGAACATTAATTAAATTAACTATTAAAAAAATAATAAACTTTATTATTGTTAAAGACTAAGGTCAAACAATAATCATTAATATTAAAAAAAAAAAAAAAAAAAAAAAAAAAAAAAAAAAATAGACAAAATCCCAATTTTAAATATCCTCTGGAATAGCCAACACATCCCATTCACAAAACCCCTAACCTTTTACTAAAACCAATCTTTAAACCATACCCCAAAAAATTTGTAAAATGTTTTAAAACGAAAATTTAATTTAATTAATATGTTTTTTTTATTTGGTTTGATTTGATTTGATTTGGTTTGATTTGGTCTGATTTTTTTGTTTTTTATTTTTTTCAAAAATAAATTCTGTAGTGTAAATAAATTCTTGATCTTCTGGAATGAATTTACCATTTATTAATTTAAATTGATTAATATGAGGATTTGAATCAATTAATTTTTGGATTTCTTCGATAAGAGATTGTAAACGTGGTGTTTGTAAATATGTTTTTAAATTAAAAAAAGATATTGATTTACTATCTTTTAGTATTTGATTAAAAATTATTGTTGAATCTAAACCAACCAAAGAAAACTTCACCAATTTTTTGATAGATGTTATAGCTAAACTAATATTAGTGATAAACGAAGGATTAATTGAACTTTTTGGTAATTGATTTCCATATATACATTTATTAGTCAACTCTAATTCAAGCAATACTTGATTATTATTTAATAGTTTTAAAAGTTTTGACCATTGATTTTTAAATTCTTTGGTTTGTTCTTGTAACTGATCTTTTGGGACTGAACTCCCAAAGGGGTTGTTACTATTATGATAATTTTCACCACCACAACTGTAAAACTTTATTATACTGTCACACCCACATCTTGCCATTAATCCTCTTTCATTTTCTTCTGTTAAAAAATAAACTAAATTTATAAAACATAAACCAATTGAAAGAGATTTTAATTTTGGCATTGATGGTGTTGCAAAAACAAGTTCAACCAAATTCTGTATAGTAAATTCAGTACCTAAAAAATTTAAAGATTCTAAATTTGAAAGATAATATATTTCCTTTTCATTTTCAATATTTTTGCTACTAAATAAAAATTCATATAGTTGTGAATCATTTATAAAAATGCTTTCTCTATCAGAGGGTGTATAGGATGATCTAGAAAAAATATCATATTCTATTGATAATTTTCGAATCGAATTATTCCAATGAATAATTGTTTCTATTATTATTCTTTTATCTAATTGATTGATAATTTCTAATGAATATAGCTTTTTAATCCTTTTTTTTATATCTGTTAATGAATTCATTGTTGTTCTATCATTCACTTGATATCTAAATAAATGAATGTTTTTAATTGCTTTACATTGATGTAATGATTTTATCATTTTATAATCCTCTTCTTGAAATCTAACATCATCAATAGTATTAATTATCAACTTTTTGAATAATTGTTGTTCTGTTGATGATAATTTCATTAATTTTTCATTTAAATTTTTTAATCCAATTAAAATTGGTTTCTTTATTGGTGATTGATTTTTATTATTATTATTATTTTTTTTATTATTACTATTATTATTATAATTTTTATAATTTCTATTATTATTATTATTATTATTGATACTTTCGCCACTATAAATCAGTTTTTTAAAAAATGTTGAATTTATTGGGTCATAATGTAAATGTAAAGTTTTTATATTTTCTCTTTTAATAATTGACCACTTATCGCCACCTTTCTCTTTGAAATTGAAATCAACTGATACTGTTAAATTATTTGATAATGTTTTAAACCACTGATGACAAACTAATGCAATTGACATTATTAATTTATCATTTTTTAATTGGTTGGCTTTTTGGTCAAATTTTGGTGAGATTTGAAATACCTCTATAATCTTGCTATTAGAATCTATTTGTTTACATAATTCTTTTACAATAATTTTTTGAACATAAATTGGTAATGTTGGCAAATTACTATTATTTTTAACTGTCATTTTTAAAGTGATGGAATCAAAAAAACGAAAAAAAAAAAATTTTTTAAAAAAAAAGTTGAAAAAAAAAAGAAATTTTTTGAGGATCGTGAAAATATCTAATATATTACTAAATTCAAGTGAAAAAAATTATATATTAACACTACTTTTATTAAACCAAATCTTTTAAAACTCTTTCAAAGATTTTCAAAGATTCAACAATCGATTGGTTTGTTGGTAATTGAGAATTGTTGTCATTTAATTGATTAAAATCATTTGAAGTTTGAAATTCTTTGTTCATTTTTGATTCTAAGTCCTTTAAATATGGTGATAATTGATACTCTGGAGGGAAAGAATAGGATATTGGACTATATGGGTAATTGTTTGGGACTTCCAAGATTATTGATAAATTATAATAGTTGTTGCTTTGAATTTGATCTTGTTTATTTGATTTTAATAAAAGTGTTGATTTCGTTGAAAATTGAATAAAAAACTTTGCATTCTCTAAATCTAAATGACTCTCAATGGTATACCTATTCAAAGAAATTATTTGGTTTAATTCTTTTGAAATCAAATCACCTCTATTTAATGATTGTTTATAATGCTTGATAATGATCTCTGCCCTATCCCATGATAGTCCGCATAATGGTTGTATCGAAAATAATTCACCATCACTACTTATTTGAATGTTTGGTGATGAACATACAAACATTGCTGGGTTCTTTTTAGAACCTTTCCAGCTCGTTGAAAATTGACATTGATTAAAATGAATATACAAATTATTTCCACCATCACCACCACCATTTATTGTTTCCGATATAATGATTGTCTTTTAAAATAATAACAAAATATTAGTATTGAGTTATTATTTTCCAAAAAAAAAAAAAAAAAAAAAAAAAAAAAAAAATATATTTACATCTTTATCAATGAATCTTGCTGGTAACAAAGTATTATCATTTTTAGTAAAATCTATTAAATCCTTTTTCAAATTATTATAAATTTTTCTAATAGTTTTTTTTAAAAAAATATACATTAGTATTTTAATATTATTTATTTTATATTTATATTTACTTACTGATCTTTTTCAAAAATTTCATAATTCCCTTTTTTAATTTTTTTAAATTCAGGAGTCCAAGAATCTAATAGTATGTGTTGTTTCTTTTTTGGTACAATTGGGTCAGAGAATTGGCATTTGGTTGCATTAGTGAATGGATTGTTTAAAGCTGGGTTCTTAAACCAAAGGATTGAAGGAGCTTTTGATGTTACACCTCCAGTTTTATTTAAAAATGTATCTGAAAAATATCTTTTTGTTCTTTCAAATGAATTTAATAAATCCTTTTCAAAATGAATTAAATTATCATTTGATCTATCATCGATTGTACCTAAAATCTTTTTAAATTGTTCTTCTTCTGATAATGAACTCTATAAAAAAAATAATAAAAAATTAATATGATGAAGTAATTTTTTTCTTTTTTTTTTTTTCTTTTTTTTTACATACTAAATACATATTCATTAAATATCTTTCAGCATTTGTTAATTCATCGATATTTAAAGGTAATGTGACAGTTTCAGGTGTTACTTTAACCATTTGAACAAAATCTAAAAATTTTTTTTTATAGGTCTCAACTTTTTGAGGTTGTTGGGTTTGAGATTGTGAAAAGTTTTCAATTATCTTTGGGATGATTGCTTCAATCTCTGGTATATATTTTTTAATTGACGACACTCTCTCCCAATACATGTTGTTGATTTCTTGTTGAGTGGCGTGTGGATAAAGTGATGATGGTGCACATGACATCAAATTTGTATTGGTTGGTGATATTCTCTTTTGATTTTGATTTGCTTGTTGTGCAGCGAGTAATTGTTGTTGTTGTGTTGTTAATGGTGTATTGGTTTGTGGTGATGGTTTATTGGTTGCTACACCACTTGGCATTGACACTGATTGTTGTTGTTGTTGTTGTTGTTGTTGTTGTTGTTGTTGTTGTTGTTGTTGTTGTTGTTGTTGTTGTTGTTGTTGTTGTAATTGTTGTTGTTTTAATTGATTAATCTGTTGTTGGTTTAATTGTTGCTGTGGTTGTTGTGTAACTGTTGGTTGATTTGGTTGGTTTGGTTGGGCCAATCTTTGTTGTTGTTGTAATTGTTGTTGTAGTAGTTGTTGCTGTTGCTGTTGCTGTTGCTGTTGCTGTTGCTGTTGCTGTTGCTGTTGCTGTTGCTGTTGCTGTTGCTGTTGCTGTTGCTGTTGCTGTTGTAAATATTGTTGATGTTGTTGTTGTTGAATTTGTTGTTGAGGAGTTAGAGGCTGAGTATAAACTGTATTATTCGAAATGGGGGGTGCATTTGGTTGTGGTGTATTTGGTGATGGATATGTTGTTATATATTGATTTTGATTTTGATTCTGTTGATTATAAACTGGTTGT